GGGGGGGAGGGGCACGGTAGTCTAATGGTAGGACGCCGGGGTTGCGGTTTCGAGTCACGTCATGGCACTGTGTTGCATCTTTGTTCCAGTCTACTCAGCTGTAAATGAGTACTTGGTTGGGCAGTGCTTACTTGGTTGGGCAGTGCTAGAATTGTTGAATGCTAGGTGTGAGCGCCGAAATGTCAGCACCGGCTGTATGCTCCCCAGGGTGTGGAGATAGATATTGACTGGTTGCAAATTAATACTATTACATTAGAATGTTTTTCTTGACATATACGATGTGAAAAACCTGAGGGTGGTCGAAGCTTTTAATTTTTATGGGGAAATGTGAACTCAAAAGTAACTCATACCATAAAGTTAGACAAGATGATGCTCCTCGATATTTGATCGACCTTGTTTGATGTATAGATAGCTTTGTATGAAAACTACACACAAGAGGGCGTGGTATGCGATGATGACGCCGCAAAGATGACACCGAGATTAGTGTAACCTTGCTTCACAAACGAGATGTGTTTACGTAGAACAAATATATGTGGTAATTAAAGATTAAATAAAACCATCTATAATAATATAATAACTAATATTACGATACATCGATCACAATATCAAAAACAAAGTGGAGATATAAAAAAATAACTACAGGTTTTGTGACATAAATGCTATATATCAACTATAAGGCAGTTTAAGCCTTTATTACAGTACATGAATGCATATAATTAATAGACAACCCACCAGCAGGTAGCAATTAAATGATTCAATCACACACATCAAAGTTAACTTAAAAACAAATTCTTTTTGAATCGAATAATAATAAAGTCAATGAAGATGAAAGCAGGTATTTCGATTACCCCTTAATTACATGTCATTTCAGTGATAGAGATAATTGATATGTGCACTGTTTGTGTGAGTCAACTCATCCCAATTAAAGTATTTTAGGTAATCTTAAGCAGGTTGAGAATGCAAATTAGTGTGTACTGAATCACCCCCCAATACACAGACACCTTTTTGACATATCTTTCTCCCGTATCTGCGTTTGCAAGTTTGATAGAATAAAGACTCGTGTTTGACAACTTAAGAACCTCCCTCCCCCCCACCCCTTCATTGGGTTGAGATTCCCCTATCTCACCCACAAGGGGATGGATTGTTTTGTTTCTCTTACCCTGTTCTCCCATTGTTTATCATTTACACAACGTAATGATAACGTTACATGCTAAATTCGGGATAGACGTGACGTTGATGAATTGTTAACGTGACGTCATTGAATTGTCGAAATTACGTCATTCCATTGCTATGAATAGGGGAATCCCCCGTCTCAAGCCGAGGGTGAGACAAGGAAATCCCACACTGGTAAAAGTGCGGATACACCTGCCCAGGGTAAGATAAATGCATGTCCATTGTACAAAAATCATTTGGGATTAATAGAATCTCTCACCCCTCGGGGAGAGATTCTTAAGTTCCCACACACTCGGCAAAGCCTCGTGTTTGGCAACTGAAGAATCTTCCCCTCGGGTTGAGATTCCCCTATCTCACCTCCAAGGGGGTGAATGATTCTTTTTCTCTTACCCTGTTCTTTCATTGTGTATCATATGAACAATGTAATGACAACGTTACATGCTAAATTCAGGGTTGACGTGTCGTTGATGGATTGTTGACGTGACGTCATTGTATTGTTGAAGTGACGTCACACCATTGTTATGAATAGGGGAATCCCCCCGTCTCAGCCCTAGGGCGGAGACAGATAAATCTAGCACCGGCAAAACGGGAGATAAATCTGTCAGGTGTGGGAGAAAAGGAAATATCACACTGGTAAAAGTGCGGATACACCTGTCCAGGGTAAGAGAAAACTCTATCCAAGATAGGTAAACCCAGTGACCTTTGGTCGGGAAGTACATGTGTCACAAAGTCTTGACTAGGAAGTTAATGAAATAAACTTTACGTTCAAAATCTTCTGTAACAAACCGGCTGATGTTAGGAAAAGTGACGTCATATCGATATGACACATGACGTCATTATGTCAAATTTTTGATCAGTAGAAGTTTTTTTATCACCTAAACAAGTACACTGTACGGCATCTGACATCACTCCACGGAAATAAAGCTTTTTTAAACAATTTTGCCATGAAGCTCTTACAAACTATTTTATTTGGAAATTTATCTTCAGTGGCCGTGCCGTTTCCTTTTCTTTTCGTAAAAAAATGATTTATTCCGGTCAAGAGGTAAGATGAAAAGAATCAATCATGTGTAGGTATACGGGATAAGGTATTCATATAATTTGGTGTCATTTCCTCGTCAAAGCCTTCGTTCTGACCCAATTCTAAACCCTCGGGCGTGGAATTTGTGCTAAAAAACTCGTCCAAGCCTAAATTCTAAATTCTAACCAAATGATACACCCTGTTTGTTATATTGCCGTTCTCTGCTGCTTGCTACTTCCATGTGAAGGGATGGGATGGAAAACGGCATTAAATGATTTCAGTGATGAAACAAGTTAGAAATGTTTGCTTATGTTTTGGAATGAGTTCCCTGGTAGTAACGGGGATTTATTATCTTCCCGGAAATTAGCGGAGTTAACAACTCATTGGACAGATGTGTCAATACGGCATGGGTTTGCATGACGCAACTAAAGTTTTACACCCGGTACCGCGCAACATACACACCTGTATAGCTCTCAAGATAGTTCATGGCTAAATTACATGCCGTAGCACTGTCGCTTTTCTTGTTTTTTGTCAGTGTTTATCCTATGGTGGTAAGACTTGTTTTTTTATTTATTTTTTATTCCAAGACGAGTTTTCCCGTAAATATTTTCTTTGTTAATATTTTGCTTTAGTGATATTGATTTTGAGTTCAAATCACGTTTTTGTTGAAACCTCGTATTCTTTTGTTATTTTCAGTAATGAATTGAAAACGTTTTCCACAAATTATTGTAAGAGTTAACCTCCCACATATCCTGCTTTGGTGAACAGATTTATCCTGTATACTCTAGACTATTGTGTATGTACCGTGCCCATCACACTAATAACATCAACACACAAGATTTAAAATGGCTTGCTGATGCACATTACGCCTTGCATGAATGAATACATAACAAGATATGGTTCGTATAGGACACGAGTTTTCCGTGCACTTTTTCATACTCCTATGAAATGTATTTTATAATCTCCAAACACTTTTCTAATAATATATAATAGTCTCAATTCTGTCGAACTTTTTAATGCCTCGAGCAGGAACCTTTACCCCGATTTAAGAACTTTCGGGCGGGTCCTGAACAAAAAGCAGGAAGCTCATACAGTTTTTGTTTCCAGTTGATGCAAGTTAAGTATCTTTAATAATCGAACGGTATGCTACTGGACACAAAACTGGAAACTCCTGTGGTTGGTAAAGGTACTGCTTACCAAGATAGATTAAGAAAGATCAGTGCAAAACATAACCGAGTGGTTATATCACTGGCGACTACCTAATATGTCTTGGAGGAGTACAGGTATCCAGGAACTGTACGAGTTACCTGCCTGCATTATATGTATATTAATATCATCTAAAATAACATTCTCAGAAATAAATAAAATATATATATATATAAAATTAACGTAAGAAAAATGTACAGATTTGCAGATTGGCAGATTTTATTTTCAATTTACCAAATACAATGTTTCATCTATTGTAGAAATGTTACGTATTCTCAAAATAAAAAAAAAAATACTAAAAAAATATATATTATGTTTTTGTTTACACAGGTAGGAAATACAACCGATATTTACAATATAGGAATATAACTGTTCAAATGTGAAGCAATTTACCCCTCGTCATGTCGAAATTGTTTGTTCCATGAACTATCGAGATAACATAGTATTTGAAATATCATAGTCCAAATGAAAAACCATTCACGCGACCAACAAATGATTTTAGTTGCATTAGTATTCAATATTCCGTCTTTGCGTATTGCAGAGTTATCTTCTCTTGGGAGCAGGTATTGATTGTTACGTCACTTGTTTGTGAGAGTAACGTCATCAATTTTTGAGAAAACGACGTAATTTTCTCACACAAACCAATGACGTAACAATCAACACCTGCTCCCAAGAGAAGATAACTCTGCAATACGCAAAGACGGAATATCAATGTTGCAATTAGTTTCGAGAGGACCAGCAATTTAATTATTCACAATACAAATTATTAAAGGATTTGCCAAAACTAGATAAAATATATGTTGTGTGCCCGTTACAATGTCGCACATAAGTCATACTTACGTCGGCAGAAACGACCGGTGAAAAGGCCAGTGATCATTGAGAGAGCTTGGACGTCTTTGACCTCGAACACGTGCTTGGACGCGGGTTTTGAAGCAATCATAGCTAATTCATCTTTGTTGAATGCGTCGCCAACACCTGATACATAAAAGGGGGACATTAATTCAACTTACTGGTTAGGGATCCCCATATCGCTGCAAAAATCTTTAACCACGCATTGGAATTAAAGTTTTTCCGGCGTGCTATAACTCTAATAAATCGACTCTGAAAGGAAAACCATGCATTGGAAAGAAAAATGAAATCAACAAAAAAAAACCCACCAACAATAGTATTCAGAGTGTAAGAAGTCAATGGGGCTAAAACCGGTTTCGAACCCTGGGTCACTTTAGATTGTTATACTACTGCTCTAGCCAACTGTGCTATCCGGTCAATTAACGTATCCTTGCCCAACTGTTCTAGAGTTAAATCAAAAGTGAAATTAAGGGTAATTTACTGTTTATACGATAACCACAGTGTAGTTGGACAGTTATCTTTAATATTTTAATTCTATAACAAGTGATGAGCTACTGGGATGTGCATCTTGTAGTGTTGGCTGTAAATGTGACGTAAAAGTTTAGTTTTTGCTGATATCCAGAAAATGTTTAAAAATAACTGAAAAGAATCATGCTGATGCAAATAGCCGAGATTTTTCTTACCGATAGCAAACATGTTGATGTTCCTAATTCTGTGGATCCTCTCGGCCATTTTCTCGGTCTTGTAGGGATCAGTCGAAGCGCCATCGGTTACTATGACACCAATTTTAGCCACGCCCCTTCTTGCGCCGTTGGATGGCGAGAACGCTTCGTCCAGCATGCTCTTCAGGGCGAGGTCAGTGTAGGTGTCACCCTTACTCCAAGGTAGCTGCATGATCGCTCTCTTCAAACTTTCGGCATCCTGGTATCTGTGGATAGAAAAATGTATCTGACCAAGTGGAAATCGAATGCGGAGGTTTGTTATAATAAGTCATGTTGAAAGTTACTGATCCTTTATATAAACCACCTGTCCATATTTGGTGGAAAATATACCCGCAGTACATCACAGGATGATCGTATGGTGCGACCAAAGTAAGCCCTTGCTGAAGAATAAGTGTAACTCCGGAGAACGAACTCAAAATGGATCTGCTGTCTCCATTGCTATACTTGGAACTGTTGTCTTTCACTTCCCTCTTACTCAGGGTACCGCCGGTTTTCATACGACCTTAGTTGTTGCGAAGAAATAATTAAAAAAATCTCCAGAAAAATAGATGATCAGTTAGACATTTTAGGGGCGAAAGCGTAAACAAAGAGGTAGTTTGTCTACGAGTGTAGGTGTAAATGTACATAGGTTGTAGATAGTGATATTTCCTGTACAACTTGTGTATCTTGCGTTTTAGAGGGTCAATAACTGATTACATAACGAAATCATTGTATTGAGGACCCCTTTTTCATTTTAAATGTAAAAGAGCTACATGTAACAAGCGATGAACATCATTGTTACCCGTGTGTATATATTAAACTTTAATAATAAAAAAAATAGATTTTGACTCTGCAATGACTGATCATCTAATTTGTTCGTATCGTGCTCAAAACAGTATCGTCTGCCTAAATTACTCCAAATTTGTTGACAGTTACTGTTGTTAGAACGTTTAAGATTGAAACATTGTTTATTCTTGTTATCTTAGGTTTCTTAGTGTATCATAATGATTTCATGATAATGTTGTGTCGAGATGTTTAAAAGGACATCACAATCACATAACGTCTCGGTATTGTGATGTTGTCATATTTACTTATATAACGATATTTCTCTTTTCATATATCTTATATTTACTCTGTTATTCGGTAAAGTCACTCGTGTAATATTCATGCCTATGGAATTATACAATAGAAACTAGTATGCCATTATAAAGTTAAATCAAGTTAATTGACGGACGCGCGCAATCTTGCCCGTATGTCCAAATATATTTTACAACCTGAAATGGTTTAACGTCTCTTAAAAAATCTCAAATCCTTACTTCAACTAAAGTATGTGTAGAATAGCTTACAAATAAAAAGAAATTTTAAAAATATATGAATATAAATAAAAATATGAAAAATATGAAATGACGTCCTCCGGAGCAAAGATCATATGATGACGTCACAACGGAGACAACATCTTCAGCCTTCACAAATAACCTGATGAACACATGTTTTTCGCAAAATGAAGAGAATCAATGAAAATGACACTAAGATCTGATAAGATTTATCCTACCCGCCATGAAGTTTACATTTTATCTTGATAGACGCTCGCTAAAATGTTAAAAGAAAATTTGAAGAATCGCTTCATAAATCACTTATAAACATGACAATTCATGCAATGTCCTATATACAGTGGATCCGGTGCAGTGGCGATATGACGTTTGTTATATCTATATCTATCTTGACTTGACCATAATTTACATAGCAGGTGTCCTCAATGAGACAGAAGATGCTTTCCCTTCCAGAACTCTTTTTTTTAAGGTTCAAATATTTTACTTCCTCAGCAAGTGTTTACTGAGGATGCCAGGGTACTATTCTTATTCCCTTTTTACATTTCCCATGGTCTCCATGTGAACCGTTCCTTTCTCCATCGATATGTTTTAACTTTTTCCAGTTCGAAATAAATTTTATTGACACTCCGACATATATTCTCTTAAAGTCTCTTGATGAATTATACGAACTTATATTCAAAATATATTATTTTGTTCGAATGATCTACATTGTTTTTTCTTAAAATGATGATTTACGCTAAAGGAAATCCGATTTTTCATATTGATAGTTGTAAAGTGGCAAAACAATTTTGATTTTTTTTCTAGGATAGGGAAATGTAAAAGAATATATCAATCCTAACAAACGGTTATATCGAAATGATAAGACGAAATCCCATCCCCTGGTTATAGTACAGTGGGACAGAAGGTATCGACATAAGGTTGTTTCTGATTGGTTGATCTGGTGAGTAAATATAAGTACAATAAGCCAACTTATTGGATGATCTACAAGACAGATAGAGAAGCTAGTGAATTACCTGTTAAGTGGAAACTCGAATTTGGATTCGGTGCTGAAAGTGATCACAGATACTTGACTGTGATCGGGACCAATAGCGAGGTTTTTAATGACGCCGATGACAAAATTGAGTTCTTCCATGTAGTTGGTTAATGTCCTAAGACTCGTGGACTTGTCCAGGATGAACACAATATCGGTGGGACTGGCCTCGCAAACTGTTTATAAATATAAGAGTATATTATCACATTCTATCAAAACATAATGGAGCAGAAAGCTACATAATCTAAATATATTCTTTCATAATAGAAATTATATTTCCACATTGTAAATGAACAAAGGGAAAAAATACATATTTTATATAAATGTTTAAGTGAATATTTCCGTTATGTAAATACAATTTTCATGACAGGATATATCATTGCATAATAGGAATTGGATAACAGGAAAACATGATATATTTCTTCTTAAATGAAGAAGTTAAAAAACACCATATTTTTTGCATCCTTCAATCATACATAATAGAAAAGGTATTCATAAGTTTTAAATACACCAGAAAGCTAATATTTCGATAATGTAAATAATCTTATAAACGGATGTTTCCAAACTGTAACAGCATATATAATAAATAATTATTTACATTTATATACATCACAGAAAAATGTCATACCCTGTCAATTCGTAAGACAAAATTTCAACATGACAGGCAAGACGAATCGACAAACATTCCAGACTAATCATAAACATTTGTTATATATAACATGTGTTATTTCCTGACGTGTGACGTCATAAAGGACACTAGATTTAATTTACAATATCACGGGAAACGCAAGATTGATATAGCAGTTTTCCTCTTCTTTCTTAATTCTTAACATTGAAAAGATAAGAGGAATCTTAAGGTCGTTCCAAAATCGGACTCTCTTTTCATTAAAACCATACAACACGACCTTAGATAATCTCGCTTAGAAATTTGTCGCGGTGTTTTTATGGTCGGTAATACCAATTACCAAGACCACACGAATGTTTTATGCGGAAGAATACACCGATCCGTACGCATAACACTCGATAGGACGTTTACGTCCGCACATTATACAAGTGCTTTCCGTGACGTCATATAAAGACGTAAGTGTTGTATTATATCTAAATTGTCACGTGTTCAATATATGCGTATTATATTTTTAAAAATATCATTCATTATTTTCCGGTATTGGTATTCAATTCGCTTCTCGAAAACTTTAGTCAAATCATGGCCTTGCAAGATGACGTTGAGAACAGTAGATTGCGTCACGTTACTGTTGTATAAACATGATTTTATTTATTCAGAACTCATTCATGTTTGAATCTGTTGATTAGGTCCGAATGCGACCTTGCCAAAAAGGAATTCTGACTTCCATAGTAATACAGTTAAACCTCGATATAATGCCCCTCGTTTCGGTTGCCACCTCGTTTACCGCCAACATATTTCAATGTCCCCTTTTCTTGTTTTCTTTAGAATCCCTTTATACATTTCCCTCCATTTATCGTCAACCCCCTTCATAACGCCAAAATTTATCTGGCCAAGTAGTGGCAGTTTAACGAGTTTTACGGTACAACATGTTGTCAGTGTGAAATACGGAACCATGTATTGCACGGAATGAAAAGTTGTTGCATCATTTTAATAAGATCAATAAGGTATACAAGAAAACAAAGAATACACCTACCAACAATTACAAAGCGATTGGTTGGTGTTTCTTTTTCTTATCTAATTTTTGAACGCCATAACCATTGGTCCATGACTGTTTTAATCGTGTTTAGTTCCTTTCAAAATTAAAAAAGAAAATCTATGGAAATTGTTTATGTGTTACTTGAATTGGATACAATTTCCACTCACTTTGAATCAGGGTTTCAAGGTTACAAATGTACAGGAAAGAGGAAAAACCTCAATAACCTGGCATGTGTTTCTATTGCGTGTCCTGGCGTCAGTGTTGTTATAATTATATTTGTTTTCAACAGTAAGGTAGGCGACACGCACCTAACACCTTTCAGATCGATTGTTTACTCTGGCATAATGTTGTAAATAAAGATGCAATTCTCTTTTTTTTCGATACAGGTTTGATGTCAATACATCTTGCGAACCGCAATATTTCATAAAAGAACCCGGATGCGTCAATGGAAGTAGCTGCTTTGTATGTGAAGGTTTGTCGCCACATTCATACACTTATGCATGCGTCATATTTGACTCACGTAGTAAGTTGAGGTCGTTATGTGTTTACTTTAACGTATTTGAGTTATAATAGACAGGATATTCGCACCTATCCACCATGTTTGTATGCAATATATACAAAAAACAACAACAATTTAGTTGTCACAACAAACATGGTGTGATAACTTCAATCTAACTAACGATGCTGGAGACCACCAAATGTTAAAAGAAATGTCAAATATATATAAACTAAAAAGGAAAGGATGAATTAATGAGTCCTAAGATTGATGAAAGACGTCAAAATATCGAATGCTAATAATAGGCCAAGAGATAAAATATGAGATGTGTCTATATCAGCAGAAAGACTGAATGAGTTTATATTCTAAAAATGTAGTCTGGTGTACAGATAAGGCGAATGTACTTTAAAACATCCATCACATTATAAAATAAACGTGTCATCGAAATCAAAAAGTGAAAGCATTGTTATCTTATCGGTGTGACATATATGCACTATTCATTTACATCTAATTCTCTTCATAACATAATTATTTTATTTAATATCATCGTTTAAGAAGCATATTCAGTTTACATTTTAAATTATCTGCTAAAATAATTTCATACTTTGATGGCAAAACAGTTATTTTGCAAATATTCACAAAAAGAGGAAGTCGGGGCCGAGTTGATATATCAAATTGTTCAAGGCAGAAGTTAAACAGGGTCACTATTGCAACGTGATAACTGGGTTTAAAGGTCGTGTTTGGCATCTTGACTTGATTGTGTGATGGGTGACACGTGTTTCACACAAATGTATGTACGCGTCATTCAAATGTGTCCCATTAATTCCGAGTAACAACACAAAATATGTCATAAAAGTACACAAACAAATGTAATGGTATCAAATTATACTTATGATGTTTGAATATCTACAAAGAATGTATAACCGGACAGGTGACTGTCTTTTAACAAATGGCATACGCGTATCAGATTATTAGGTAATAAAAGGTATACTGCAATTAAAATATTCAATTTTTAATGTATGTTTTTCTTTTTTTCTCTTATATAAATTTCCAGATATTTGTGCCAAAAAGAAAGAAAGAAATGAACAGGATGTACCTGTATATTCATTCCAAATATGTGTAACAAGTCAATACAAAGTCCACAGGCTCAACACCCTAGTCTAGTAGATTTTTTTTGTCAGGACGAATGAATTTTTTCGAGAATATTGATATTGAAGTATAGCTTGGACTTTTTTTTCGTTGCTGTCAAATAAATACTTCTTTTACACATTCAATTTATTCGGAAGAAATCACGCTAAATATCTTGGAACGAAACAGAACGTTTTCCAGTTGACGACGCCAGATTAGAGTTAAGTTACCTCTATAACATGTATCGCCGACAGCAAAGAGGTGGGTAAGACTTTTACCTGTGACAGGTAAACAAACGTGTCCCTTCCAACCACATATATCATCGTATCATTTGTTCGTGTTATAAATGATAACCCCATTAGAGTGTATGTACTACTTATAGCAGACAAAACTACGTTGAGGACAACAGTGCTGATATAATGACAATGTAGACCCTATACTTCACGAGGGATTCCATATAGATTTACTTTTACTATTTTCTACTCAAAACTTAGATCTTGGTGCCGAAGAGTTCTGCCTTGGTTCAACTGATACTTATAAGGTGAACATCAATTCGATATGATGTTCATGCTTCCGCAGTGACAAATAATTGGCCATGATTTGTTTTGTGTTTTGCTCATCACATTGTGAATATATCTGTATTGAAATCTGCAAAAGGAAGGTTTAGTTGTACATTTACATTCAAAGTCGGACAAACAAGTTGAACTGCACGATAACAGTGCCTACCTTATTGTGTAATTAAGTCTATCACTGATTACGATGTGGTATGTAAAACATCCAAACACCGACTCAACACCAGTCTCTCAAACCAACTCACGCATTACCACTACCATAGCTTATACATTATATTGTGATAATACCTGTACATTACATTTTTATCCTATTTTCCAATTGTACTGACAAACCTGCACTAAGATACTATCTTCGGGAAGTCTACAATGTATATTTTGTTTATAATACAGATTCATTTCACAATTAAATCAATGAATACCATTGAAAATGAAAAACGGTCTCTTAACACAGATGGTTTCCAAGGAGATGGTCGCATAAGCAGTTATGTCTGAAAATTTAACCTGTTAATATGTGACGTAATCTAAGGGTGAGATAACGAAATGTCTCCCGGAGTATAACGTGGAAGTAATATGCCATAACTGCAATGACAACATATCCCAATAAATTAATTCTATGGCAGAGATTGCAAATTCGGGATCACTTTGTGATTGATGAGATCATTTCAAAGTGCTTGAAGTAAGTCACAATACCACAGAAGTTTGGCAAAAACAAGTTTTGTTTTATCTAACAAAGGTATTGTTATGATGGAGGGGGGATATTTTTTGTATACTTGACGGCTCCGCCGATAGAGCTTTGCCCCCATTTGTTATCTCATATACAGTAAAGTTGCTAATATTCACGAGGGTTCTAATTTCGCCGATTTCGCGAATGCAACAAATTCGCGAAATTTTGTACCTCGCGAAATGTTTAGATCATGTCCAGAGCATCAAGATTTCACACGTTTGTAATGCCAGTTGAGTTGAGACTACTAGGTCTATGATAGGCCTGTATTATTAAATCTAATAAGCACCGAGAAGAATTTGCGAGTTTCTCTGAAACAGATTTGCAGAAAAATTGTTATTCGTGAAAATAAAACCCCGCAAATAAGTTCCGTAAAAAATCGCGAATTTTTACAACTGCGAAATTATCCAACTATACAGTAGTTAAATTGCCACATTCTCCACTTACAATTATGAAAGAATGAGTCTATTTATGTTCCTAGTTTGACAAAACAAGTCCGCATTATACGGACACCTTGTTATACACAATATACGTGCTTTCTTTAATTCATTTTCAAAGAATAGTGAACTCAGACTGATAATCTCATGCAATGTAACGC